GCTGCTGTGCGCCGCGTGGCCCGCGGGCGCGGCCGCCGAGCACTTCGTCGAGTGGGTCGAGCTGCAGCGCGCCTTCGGCGTGCGCTCTATTCTGCTCTACTTAAGCAAGGTAATTTCCTCCAACAGTGCTCCCGTAGGTTCGTACTTTCTAAATCATTATGTGGTCGGTCGAGAGCGATGTTATTGAATTCACCTCTTCGCTCCCGCTTCGTAGATGTGAACGGACGTGTATCCATTTTGCTCCGCATTTTACTAGCGGTTTCTATTACATGGCAGCGTAATAAGTCTGTATCATGGATACAGGAAAAAAGGGGAGATATGTAATGACGCTATGTAAGATCGTGTCGGGTATCCTATGTCGCCACTTTTTAGCTAGTGTGCAATTCAAACTTTACGCTCAATTATAATAATAATAATAACGCACACACTCAACATAGCCCTGCACTAGGGATACCCTGTGTTGCGGGTGCCATAGACACACATAGACAACCACAAATCAAATTATCTACTACCATAACTTAACTATTTTGATTGGTTAGGGCTTAAAACATGAAAACACTTAGAACTTATAGTTGAAGAATTTACTACACTTTGCTAATACTATTTATAAATAAAAGCGTAAATACATTTTGCTATCACTCTTTATATTTTTCCGACATTTTTTGACAAGCTATATTTAAACATGACATTTAAATATATTTCTTCTTTTTGACCACTGAGTTTCATTGAACATCATGCTCAAACTCTAACAAAAACGACATTATATGAGGCCATGAGAACCATAGCGGCCTAACTCATTTTTTTACAATATTGAGTTTATGATTTTTTCCAGTTCAAATTGATCATTTTGATAGAACCAGAAAGGCCTAAAAGTGATACAACGAATTTTCACTAGATGGCAGCATAATCATTGTTATGGTTTTTAGTCTGTGATCTAAATTTGAGGTGCCATGCTGGCCTAAGTAAGATAGGCCACTATGGCTTGTCCATTGAATTAGGCCACTATGGTTCTCATGGCCTCATATTACACTAAGAGCTCACGGAGCGGTTTTCACCCACGTCTGCCGCGAGACCGCGGCATTCGTAGAATGTAACAATTAAGTATGTAAAATTAGTAGCACATTTCACAGCTGGGTACTAGTAGAACCGCGCAGGACGCGATCATCTGTGCGCTGGCGGCCGTCGTCGCCCGCGCACTTTGGCGGTCGGTTCAGGCGCAATGTGGTGCAGGCGCACGCGGGATGAGTTCTTTATTAACCGCGCGACTTGCGATTAACTCCCACTAAATTGAAATAAAACCGCTGTCCCGCAGCACCGGCGGGCGCGGATGGAAACCGCTCCGTGAATTGTTAACCTTATTAACCTTAAACTGACGCTACTCAACGGGGGATGTGGTCCTATCTAATCGATAGTTAGAAATCATGTGGCTATTTTTAATATTAAAGAAATATTCATTTTTTCATACTATACCTACACTGGTACTGGTGTATTATTAAATTAACATATTAATATAAATTATTATAATTTTGTTAATGGCGGCCACTAGGCTTGGGCCAGTGTCAGTTTTATAAGAATAATGTAAAAATTATGGCGATCGTCGCCAGTGTCCGTTTTCCATTATACGTTACCACGGGTTGGTGAAGCGGTCATTGCTTGACACTCGTCGTGCCGTAAACTCGGACCATTAACGAATTTAATAAATTAAATTATGTTGTTTTTTATGAAGGACTTATCTAATTTATTTTGTAGCACATGTAAAATAAAGCCGATTTTATTTTATTTGTTTTTAAATGCATTTGCTATGGTAATTGAAACAAAGTCAGAAATAGTAATAAGAAAAGCACTCTTACGATTTTCCTGCAGCTTCAAACCAACCTTCTCTTATTTTGAACTCATTGGAAAAACTTAAAAATTAAAAATACTCTACGTTTAATCTACGAGTATAATGGAATATTAATAATTTATTATGAGCCACCCCGCGTACAGTCCCGACCTGGCACCTCGTGACCTTTATTTATTTCCAAATTTTAAAAACCAGTTACACGGTCAACGATTTTCATCACCTGAAGAGGCTGTTGAAGAGTATGAAAAATGTGTTTCAGAGATTGTCACGGAGGAGTAGCATAAATGTTTTCAAAATTGGTTCATTCGTATGAAAAAGTGCATGAACGTTAACGGAGAATATTTTGAGAAACAAAAAATTCATTTTTGACCATTTATAGTATTTTTTTCTTATTCATTCCGGAAACTTCTAGTGCGCCCCACGTAGCTGCTTGGCGCTTATTGTTGGTTGTTTAGCCGTGTAACTTGAATAGTATGTAGGCGTTAGGCAGTGCGTGACCGATACGTGAGACTCTTTGACTGACAGTTGATTGAACATAAATTAAACTTAATTCTATGCAAATACGTTAAATATTTTTACGGTCTCTATCACTGATCTTTTTAAATATTTAAAGTTTGTTTATTGTTTGTTATAATTATAAATACAAAGATCAAAGAATCGGAAAAAATCTTTCGATCGACTTCTAGCATACCGTGGCAGACGCTATACCAACTAAGTCACGGAACGAACCAGCGGACGTCACGAATTTTCCTATGTGCTTGGGTCGTATGTTTGTATTTGGTTTTTCAACGACGCTTTAGCCGTAGCGCCATGAGAAATCTATCATATTTCGTCATCCAGTTAGATATATACAGCCACCAGACCCGGCTAGCGATGTCGCTATTCGTTGTATTTTAAATTTTTATTATGTTGTTTGTTAGTTAAGAATTGTTATGATTGACTTTTTACGATACCGGTCATCGTCAAGCATGATGATAAGCTGCGATTTACGCTAGTCGGCGTTATATACCAACCAACTGTAGTGGAAGTATGTGTGGACACGATTACCGTCTCGTGTGTGAGTTTTCGCTCGGCAGGAGAACAGAAAGGTCCGCCACCGTCTCTGATTGTGTCAAGGTTTTTGGTATACACCTTGTTAGTGCTAAGCCTGATGGATATTAACCATATTTACAAATGCTCCTATTTAACATCAAGACCTCTAATATACAGTCTTACTACTTTTTATGAAATGAAATGAATTGCTTATATTCTGAAAGCATTGATACCGAACCAGTTTAAAGCAAAAATATTTACAACGGTTAACTATCTGTTAAAAATATTCTCACATAAAATTATAATATGTAATGGCTAATAGAAGAAATTTCTAGGAAATGAAACTATTTTTCCGGATTTAAATCGCGTATATTTGTTTTTTCAAACAAACCGACATTTCGGGCCTTTACAGGTCCCGCGGTCACGGTACCATCCTGTAATTCCTTATAATTTTTATGGTTTCGAACAAATTGGACATTCACACGAGTAGAAAATGGGAGGAATATAAAGCAAATTTAACGGATATTCCTGTGTAGTCGTGCTGATATCTAGAAACCGTATATAAACCGATCCGAAAAGGAGCATAAGAATATTCAAAATCAACCTAAGTATAAGTCTAGCAGTCAGTGTAATAGTTTAATGGCAGCCGTAGATAAAAAATTAAATCGTGAATGTGTAATATGCAGCGACAAACATTATTTTCATGAGTTGGAAGTTTAAACATATGAGTGCAGACGATAGGTTGCAAGAAGTTGGAAAGCGAAAATTATTTAAGAATTGTTTTCGACATGGCGACAATTCATTTATTCTTCCGTCTTCTCATAAGATAACTTCTGTAACCATTTTCTTAGTATATAACTAACTTCATATTTGTTTAATGCGTATATGTGTAGGGATTGATTATATATATAATAAAATATTATATAATCTAGCACTTAGCGCTGTTAATAATCCGTTAGCAAAGGCAGTACGGCATCGTGTAGTGTCACAGACAGGGGAACCTCGTCGTCTACTAAGAGCGATTGGATTTATGGGTAGAATTTAATGACGATGCAAGACACATTTTAGTATAAATAACTGCCTCACAGTGAGTACCTGGGCTTCAGAGTATAGCCTATCAGTGGAGTAGTCTCTTGGTTTAAATAAAATGGAATTTAACACCGCCCTTTGTGCACGTTCAAGGGTCAAAAGATATGTCATGTAAAGATATATAAATGCACCGCCACAAATGGGAATACAATAAGATATAATGGATTCGCATAAGGAACGGTACACTAAAATAAGCGTATCCGAAGTTACACAGTGACGCAAAAAAAAAAAAAAAAAAGGTTTCTAAAAACGTAGATCAACTTCCTTACTCTTCCACAAATATTATCGATGTGAGGTCTCCAGGTTAGTCCATCATCCACCAGAACCACCAAGTATCTCACAAATCTAGTTCTTGAGAGGGTAAAACATTTACAGCTTGTAATATCATTACAGACGTGCGCTTTGATTGATTCCGAGCTAGTCAGAGGCTCAGATCGAGAAAGGTTAAAACGGAGATAGGTGGTGTAGTATTTTTAATAAAAAGAAATAAAAGACATATTAGCCGTTGCTATTTAACTGTATTGACAGGACTGACTAACCGCAGACAACAACATTATTTTTAACATCTTACCCTTTTAAGTTATATGCGTAGCTCTAATCAAATAAGCGAATGTATTAATCAGACTTAGAAGATAGGCAATAATGAACTTTAAAAGAAATATATAAAAAGAAACATATTTGACATATCTTTGCATAAGTTACAATTACAAACTCATCTAGCAAGTACACAAGAGATTAGTTATGTAACATAATCAGCATGTTTTTGTGGACGCTTTAGTGCGCTACCTGATCTAGATAATTTTATCTGTGAGGTTGGAAGCTCTGTCTGCAATGTGGTATCTGAAACCTTTGAAGTTTCATTATGGTGTCCATCGGTATCATGTATTGGCTGTGGCTCTGTATTTCCAATAATTTCCTCATTACTTCTCAATTCACACAGCCGTATAAAATCTAATTTCTGTTGTATCTAGACACCTTCCATATTTTTCACAATGTAAGATCTAGGTCTATTAGTTTTCTGCACTATTTTTCCCTTCATCCAAGTTTTATCATTTGGCATTTTCTTAAATCGAATGGACTGATTTACTCTGAACCCTAGTCTTGTAGTTGCAGTTTTGTCATAATTACTCTTTGTATCGTCTTTT